CCCCCCCACGTCACGCCCCCCCCCCGCGTCCCGATATTTGTCTTTGGTGATCTGGTCACCCTAGATGCAGCCCCTCCGGTGGTAGCCACGGCGGGAGTGCTAATGCGGGAAAGGCTTTGACCTGATCTGTTTGGACCATGATGTTGTCTAGACCTGATCTGAGCAGTATTACAGGACACAATGGAAAAATGCCAATGCCCTATCCACACTAGCTCTCCAGAAAGGGCTCTGGAGTGGTGCACCTCTCGAAAGAAATCTAGCATTGACACAGCTCAGAGCACTGAATGCCAAGGTTTACAATAAGCTGTAGTGTTCTAATGCTGTAGAATTTCAGAACAAGACTCTGAAACAACATAGTAAGTGATTCATTGTATACCCTTGTCTACGCACTCTCTGGGTCAAAGGGAAGATGGATACAAACCCTCACCTGATATCTGAGGGGAAAGGACTTTAAACCAAATAATTACAGTGACAAGATTTCCAGGGTTTGTGTGTTCTCTGGGCTATGTGACACCATTGTGTCCACTGCTCCAGCAGTTCATTTGCATGCAGGAGCTGAGAAATTAAGACTAAAGTCGTTAGAAAAATTTGCATTGTTGTGTCAAAAGCATTTAGCACTCGGAGGAATGATGTGCTCATCTCATTTTTGACAGCCAGAGCTAAATGACAGCAGCAATGAGACCAGCGCCTGGAGAAAAATGTAAGGCACAAGGGCGTAATCAACCGGAGATTATCAATATCAGATATTTGGGCAATACTGACAATGGACAGCAAATGGAAATTATCTTATGGAAACCTTAAAGTGGTGGTGTTTGTGTGTATGCAACAGGAATAGTCAGACTAAGACACCAACAAGCAAGTGCTGCTAATACTTTATAACATTACACCTTCCAGTTGAGAATCCGAGAGCTTTTCAAATGCTCAAAAGGTACCTAAATGTCTCACAGCTTCTCAACAAGGAAGGCAAATGTGGTCATCTCCATTTTGCTAGAAGGAGAAATTGAGGCAGGAGCAGGCGAAATAGCCTGCTTGCGATCACACAGCTTGTCAGTGGCTGAGCAGCGAATAGGATGTAGAAGTCCTAATCCAGTGAGAGGTCCCTGGTGCTTCTCACACTTCTGACAGAACTAGTCAAATACAAACCATCTAAAGTACCTCTTGGACTAAAAGTTATTCACATAATAAATTGTTGTGTGAAAAATTGCATCATATATTAAACCAGATCTACCTCTGAACCTCAAATATCAACAAAACTCTAAGGCCCATTTCGTCCCGACTAACCCCAATGTAATAGATGTTGGGCCAAATTCGTTTCTGATATTCTAACATTTGTTACTAGTTTATTCTTTTAGTAGGGCAGCATAGTGAACTTGAGGCTCATCAAATATGAGGCAACATTTAAAGTATCTTTTCTCCCCTAGGTGGAATAGTAGACAAGCAGAGAAGGCAAAGTACTTCTGGATTCTACAAATGCCTATCAATATCTACTAATGCAATCTGCAGAGAGTCCCTGACCTCAGCTGAACAGTCACAGAAATGATGCATGAACCTGAGTTTTGCAATTTGAACAATTCTATAGTCAACACTGAGCCCAAACAAAAAAATACATCACTAGCAAGTGCAACCAGAATTGGATTTGAACTCAGAGGCAAGAGATTAGGCTTTATTGATCATCTGCTCATCTTGAATTCAGTGACTCACTGGGGAGTCTAGAAATCTAAAATGATGAGGTGGATATAAAATTCTCCTCTTCTATTACAGTATTTCCAGACTATGTCCCCTGCAAAGCCAAGTCAACTTACTATTTTAAATTATGGTGTCTGGCTCGCTGGT